ACCAAAATATTTTTGGGCTGAAACCATTAATACTGCTTGCTACATTATAAATCATGCTATGATTAGACACATTTAAAAAAAAAAAAAAAAACAACAACAACAACGACGACGACGACAACCCATATGAGATATGGAAAGAAAGAAAACCAAATGTAAGTCATTTTCATGCCTTTGGGTGTAAATGTTCTGTTTTGAACAATGGCAAAGATAACTTGGAAAAATTTGATTCCAAATCCGATGAAACTATTTTCCTTGGTTATTCTCCAACAAGTAAATCATATCACGTGTTTAATAAACAAACTTTAATTGTTGAAGAATAGATATATGTTGTATTTGATGAATTTAACTTTTCTATTTTCAATAACATTGCAAGCAATGATGATGCAAATATTGAGCAAGAAATGGAAAACTTTGACATTTCCAAGAAAATTGATGAATCTCAAAAAGATGAACTGAAAGAACTTCATCAAGATCAATGTGGAGACAATCAAATTCTTCTAATGGAATGGAAATTTATACGAAATCATCCCATGGATCAAATTATAGGTGATCCTTCTAAAGGTCTAATAACTCGAAACTCTCTTAGAAATATTTGTGATAATTTAGCCTTAATTTTTCATATTGAACCTAAAACTTTTTCTAAAACTGAAAATGATGAAAATTATATTGTAGCAATGTAAGAAGAATTAAACCAATATGAAACAAACCAAGTTTGGACTTTAGTCCCTCATCCTCAAGACCAGTCCATCATTGGTACAAAATGGTTTTTTTTGAAACAAACTGAATGAATCCGGTTATTATTAGAAATAAAGCTAGATTAGTTGCATAAGGATATAATCAAGAATAAGGTACTAATTTTGATGAAACTTTTGCACATTCAGCAAGATTAGAAGCCATTCATATGCTTTTAGCATTTGCATGTTTTAAAGTTTTTAAACTATATCAAATGGATGTTAAAAGTGCTTTTCTTAATGGTTATATTTCAGAAGAAGTTTATATTAAACAACCTCCTGCCCTTGAAAATCATGAATTTCCAAATCAAGTTTTTAAACGCTCAAAAGCTCTATATGGTTTGAAACAAGCACCTCGTGCAAGATATGAACGCTTAAGCAAATTTTTGATTGAAAATGGTTTTACTAGAGGAAAGATTGACAAAACACTTTTTGTTAAAACCAAAAATGATTATTTTCTTATTATACAAATATATGTAGATGCTATTATATTTGGAGCTACTAATGAAAATTTGTGCAAGGAATTTGCTAAGTGCACGCAAGGCGAGTTCGAAATGAGGCTGATGGGTAACCCAAAATATTTTCTTGGACTTCAAATCAAGCACAAAAAGGATGAGTGTAACGCCCTCAAAAAAAAAAAAAATACATAAAACCCATCACTACAGACATGCATTGATATAAAAGAAACCAACCATTTCTATTCATCAGAGTGACTCTTACAACAGTATTACATGTTAACAACAAAAGCAAATGCCCTATGGGCTTATAGCTTTCCAAGTAAACACCTGGTTACACAAAAAAAAGAGTACTAGCTCTATACAAAATAAGCCCTTGGCTTGATTTACATGTAATACAAACAAAATAGACAAAAAAGAGTCTTCAACTCTCATCATCATCCAAGCTATGTCCTTGGAGGTGGCATACTACCTGTACCTGAAAATGATGTCCCATAAAGGGTGAGCCAATGCCCAGTAGAGATATGCTAAACACAGTATGAGCAATGACTAAGACATTAGCAATTGATAAATGTTCAATTTTCATAAATCAATTCATATCTCATTTCCATTTCATGACCATTATGTTCATGTTTCATTTCAGTTTTCATTTCTTATCAATTTCACAATTTACATCAATGGCTCAGAACCAGGCCAACTACTTATATGAGACAGTGACTCATATTAAACGTTTCCCATTTTACAATAGATAAACATATTAGTTGTATCAACATCTCAACAGATAAGCATACAAGCTGTATCCACATTTCAACAGATATGCATATTAGGTATATCAACACTTCCAAAGATAAGCATATGAGCTGTATCAACACTTCCATAGATAAGCATATGAGCTGTATCAACACTTCCATAGATAAGCATAGAAGCTATATCAACACATTATCTGACAAGCATATGAGTTGTATCAGTGGAGTCCATCCCCTATATCCTCCCAAACAACATCCAGTTTAGAGGTCCATTCCCTATCTTCCCCTAAACCGTGGAGTACATCCCCTATCTCCTCCCATACACACACAACGTATATACACAAAGGTCATATACACAATCAATCATTACATAATATTAATGTATTCTATCAACCGTCATATTCTATGACAGAACCAATTGATTAGTTTTAGTTTGCCTAATCATCATGCATTATCTACAACAATCAAAACTACCCTCCACCGGTAGCTTAAGCAATTATTTCTAAACAGATAATAAAAGCTCCAACAGATAAAATATCAATGTTTTCAAAAGAGAGTGATTAATAAATCCAACTCCACCATTCTACTATATAATGAGCCAACTTCATTATTTCCAACTCAATTCCATATAACCACACTTTTTCCAAATTAATCATACCAATTAATTTATACAACCAATTAGGGTTTCTACCCCATTTCCCAATATTGACCCAATGGTCTATATTTCAACAACCAACAACAATATCATTATTTTGAAACCCACAATACACATTTTAGAATCAAAATAACAAAACCCTCCTTAACATTTTGAAACCCTAAGTCCCAAAATTACCCGACTTCAACAATTTATCAAAACAACCAAAAATCTATGTCAAAGACCATAAGAGTGAGTAGGAATCCCTACCTTAAATTCGGAGCGCAAGAGAAGAGGATGAAGAAAAGCGAAGTTGCTCCAAATCACAAGTTTCTCGGATCAAAATGTAGCCCTCGACGATCAACCTAACTTTTACAAAGGCCAAAGGAGAGGGAAGCACTCTAACTAGATCAAACCCTAGAGAGAAGGGAGTTTCTAGAGAAAGAGGCTGTCAAAAACGTTTTTGGGAAAGTAAGAGAGAGAGTGGAAGTGCAGAAAATGATTCAAAAATACCCAGCTGCCCTCTGTTATACGACATTCCCGCTAAAGCAGAAAACACAACGCTCGAGCGTCAAGAACAAAAAAACTAGGTCCGGTCGAGCGCAAGAAGTCCCGCTCGAGTGCCAAGACACAAGAATAAAGTGCATCTACTCGAGCGCGAAAACCAGTCCGCTCGAGCGTGGATTTCCGCTCAAGCGCAGAGCACCAAAATATTGGGAGTGTGCAATCTCCGCTCAAGCGCAAGAAGACCCGCTCGAGCGGACCTCCTAAAAACTGGGCAACAAGGAATTGAAACCAAAGTCTAACCAACCTGTAACAACTCTGCCCAATACATCCTAAAACTCAATCAAGCGGAATTAAAGGATGACAACAAGGTATACAACCACCAACATCACGAAACCAAGGTCCGGAAAACAACAAATACAGAAAGGGAAAATTGGGATCGCTATAACCTTCCCCTCTTAAAGAATTTCGTCCTCAAAATTAAATATAGGTTTTTCAAAAACAAGTTTTCTTCATTCCCAACAATATTACAACATAATGTTAAACAATCTGGCCCGTTACCGGTCAATCCCATCTCTTTTCAAGAGGCATATCACATTATACATAACAACCTGCATTATCAACATGCATTCTTTTGAAATTCACCAATTTCAACCCATTTTCCACAATTCCATAATACATGCAACATTAACATCATGCTTGCACTCCCACAGTACATTGAACATATGCAATGTTATAACAACTCTCCATTAACCAAGACATTCACAATGTTTTACAACTTAAGACATATATAATGCTCTTAAAGTTCAACGACATTACAAAATTACATTATATGATTACACATCAACAAACAAGTCCGAATATTTCTCACGGACTTCTAACTCACGTTCCCAAGTGGCTTCCTCCACTCCATGATGTTTCCACAAAACCTTTACCAAGGGAATGGTCTTACCTCGCAAGACTTGATCCCGTCTATCCAAGACCCGAACTGGTCTCTCCTCATACGAGGCATCCCCATCAACCTCTAAGTCGGTCCAATCTAACACATGGGACGGATCCGGCTCAAACTTCCGAGGAATACGCACATGAAACACGTCATGCACTCCGGACAACTGCGGTGGTAAAGCTAAACGATAAGCAACCTCCCCAATCCTCTCAAGGATCTCAAAGGAACCGATAAATCGAGGGGATAACTTCCCACTCTTCCCGAACCTCATTAGACCTCACCTAGGTGATATTTTCAAGAAAACATGATCACCTACCTCAAACGCCAAAGGCCTCCTCCTACGGTCAACATAACTCTTTTGGCCACTCTGGGCTGTAACCAGCCTCCTACGGATAAGCTCAACTTTTTCTGTCGTCTCCCTAATCAACTCCGGACCCAACAAAGGTGCATCATTCACCTCAGCCCAACACACTGGAGACCTACACGGTCGGCCATACAAGGCCTCAAACGGTGCCATACCGATGCTAGACTGAAAACTGTTGTTGTAGGCAAACTCCACCAAGGGCAAGTGCCTCTCCCACGTCCCACTAAAGTCAAGGACACAACCTCGAAGCATATCCTCAAGGATCTGAATAGCACGCTCGGACTGCCCGTCAGTCTGAGGATGATAAGCCATACTAAAGGTCAACTTAGTGCCCAAGGCACTCTGCAAACTCTGCCACAACCTAGCAGTAAAACGAGGATCTCTATCTGAGACGATCGTCACTGGGACCCCGTGCAATCTCACTATGTCCTGAATATACAAGTCGGCGAGATGATCTACCGAATCTCTCACGCGCATAGGAATGAAGTGGACCCACTTAGTCAACCGGTCTACAACCACCCAAATGGCGTCACTACCCCGCTGAGTCCTCGGAAGACCTACAACGAAGTCCATAGTGACATGCCTTTTAAAAACATAAACAAATATTTGTATTTGTTTTTCTTATAATAACTAGACACAAAAACATAAATCTACCATGTATTTTTAGGAGTAAGTAAATAAGATTGCAATAAAGTGATCCTAGTCACACTATTGACTTGAACCCTGAACCTTTAACTTTTTTATCGTCCTAAAAGACAACTGCATGAATCACTGGGTAAATTGTCCGGCCCTCACCATGTATTTATTGATATGAATCCCATACATCTGTGATGCAAATTTTGTTTATATATAGAATTACTTATTACTTTTTACATTGATTAGTATTGTTTGAATAGGAATGACCCTTTATAGGTTTAAAACATAAAAATTCAGAAATTCAATGACCTTTGCGAGTGTTGAAGGGATTCACATGTGGCCTTTAACTTTGTGAGCTCTAGGTACAAAGACTGCATTCACCAACCAACAAAAAATGGTAATTGAGGATGTGAGAAGACCTTTGGAAACAAACAATCTTTATCTCATAATGATCTGTACATTATATAGTGACAGGATTGTGTTATTTTAAATTATGTCAATTTAATTTTTAATGTTTAAAAAGTATTTCATAGTTAAAAATGTATGTTTCTACGAGTAATTGAAAGAAGTAAAATTAAAATAAGACGAGATGAGGCAATTTATGAATAAGAGTATGACTTTTTCCAGTAAATAGAATCAAATTTTATAACAAGTACACGATACGATACACAAATGTTTAGTATCTAATCAAACTCGACTATAATTTATTTATTTTTTTAAAATTCTATTATATAATTACATCAGGGGTGTGAAATACTATAAATATAAAATTATTATATTAATTATTAGTGCAATATAATTTTTTTTAAAAACATTAGGGATGTGACCGCCCTAGATCCATCGTTGAATACTGATGTACAAGACAAAACAACACTACATTCAGCTATTTGAAAATGAGATTGTATTTATTACAATTTATAGGGTAGTATATATATTGTTTGGTGTAGTTTTAGAAATAATTTAATTAAATTTATAATAAAATAATTGATCATTAAGAATTAAGGGCGATAAACGAACCGAACAGTTAACTGTTTAAATTTGGCTTGATAATTTTAACGAATTCCAAAATTTGTTCAAGTGTAATTCATTAAACTTTCGAGTCAATTTCAAACGAGTTTTTATCGAGTCGAACTCAAATAGTTTGATATTTTATATAATTTTAAGTTTATTAAATCGAGCCGATCAAGCAATTGACTGGTCAACTTTGGTTTGAAAATCTTAACAAATTCTAAAATATATTCAAAATTAATTTGTTTATTTAACAAATCAAATTCGAACAAACTTTTAACAAATTAAACATGAATCAAACTCAAACTATTTAGTTCATTTATCACTTCTATTAAGAACTGAGCAAGAAAGATAAATTGAATTCGTGAATATTTTTTGAAGTTAATAAAATTTCTTTTACTCATAAAATAAATAAATAAATAAATCAAATCAAACCTCTTGCTCAGTGGTAGTCTTGGCTTGTGATGTGCAACGACATCGCCGGTACCGTTGGATGGTTTGTCTTACGCTGAAAACATAATAAAAATTTTACATATTCATTATTAATTATCACCCAAAAGAACTCGGTTCACACATGAATTTTTAATTTTAAACTCAATTATTTTAGTTATATAATTTTATTTTTATTCTAATTCTGACTATTTTAACTTTCCTAAACTTATAATTTATCCTACCCATCAATATTCTCTCAATTTTTTTATATTAAAATCAAGTTGAGACAAATATAATCAAGTTAGATAATTTTTCCATCCCTATAATAGGAGGACCAGGGAAGATTGGATGCGGTTGTGGGAGGGTTAGGTTGCAAGGGTAGATGTGGTGGTGGCTCTGGCAGTCGAAGGTGGTGATAGGATAGTAAGAAGTTAAGCTTTGAAATTTAAAAGGCGTGAAGAGAGGATGAGAGGTTAGAGATGGAAATATATTTGAAATTATAAAAGGCATAATGAAATAAAATATTAACTTTAAATTTTAGACCTCCTCTCTTTTTCTTTTTCGTAATAAATAGAATATATATTGTATACATATATGTAGGTATGGAGATAGATAGAATATGTATGGAGAGAGAGAGAGAGAGAGAGAGAGA